GAATGCACCACCTCACAATTTTCAGTAAATGCACCACCTCACCACCTCAAGAGATTGTAAACTTTTTTTGTCAGTTTTTAATTTTGAAATCTACTAGAAAAAATACCCGTGCGTTCCAACGGGAAATCCCTTAATATATCAAATTTGTACATACCTCATAAATATCTCCAAATTTTATACCGCTTTGCAGATTTGGAAAAGGATGTGATTACCCAAAAAAGAAACAGATGATTGCAGAAAAAAAAAACTTTTACCGGAAGCCTTACTTAGACATAAATTGGGTTCTTCTACTTGGTTCCATTTACTTAGACATAAATTAGAAGGCAAATACAAAATTTACATCAATTTTATATCTAAAAATGATGGCTCATTGATCAAAAATTAGTTATGTAAATATTAAATTGGGTGAAAAAAAATAAAGGGCAAATGATAAGGCCTAAAACCTGACGACGGCCCAAAAACAACGCGCGCTGGCCCAATAAGGCATGAGGCTCGGCCGGTACGGCCCGTTAAGCGAGTAGGCCCTTGATCACGCACGGAGGCGTGCGCGGCCCATAGCGCGTGCGGGCAGCCGAGCAGGCCACGGGCGAGCGCGAGCGGCCCAAACGCAAACAAGCACATGCAGCCCAGTTACCACCCGCAAGCCCATTAGTCTGTGCCGTTGGATCATAATCAACGTCCACGATTGCTTGCGGTGATGTGAGTCAACGTGATCGATGATGTCCATAGGATCTTGATCAGACGACTGAGATTTTGTGAGACTGGGAGAAAACACCTTCTAGCTGCAAAACCCTAACCCTAGGTTTTTTCTCCTATTTTCCCCGATTTCTCCGGCGTGAGTGAGGGAGGCGACAACGGCGATTCGGCAGAGTAGCGATGACGGCGTGCTCGTGCGTGGCAGGCTTAGGTCGCGCACCGCTCCAGTGGAGATCAAGCCGACGGTGCACCATGATTCGACGTCCCCAAGTCTACCCGAGCCGGGTGCCCATGCGCACTTAGGGCCAACATGCCAAGGTGATGGCGGTGGGCAGAGGTTGGTGATCCGCTCCACTGCCATGGTTCTCCTCCTCGGTGCGGCTGAGGGTGGAGCCGAGCCAAGCCTCGGTCTCACGGCGCCAACTCAGGCAGGCGTGGGACCGATCCAGGCGGCAAAGTAAGGTGGGTACTCTTAACAACCAAATTTGGTAAGATATAAACCAGGTTCAACATCGGGATCGAAGCGGATTTAGCAGAAAGTCATCTTCCAAGAACAGAGTGCGCATCGGCTACGAAAGGCATCAGCTGAAGACTATATCGGCTGAGATGAATCAAACAGAAGATAGCCGATATAGCCGATGTAGCCGATTTCGTTGAGATGGTTGTGTAACTGTTTTCGGGATCGATCAACGTGCTACACAAAGATTGCCACGATGGAGATAAGCTCACAAATAGGCAATTGTATCTATTAATTATGATATTTGAAATAGTTTCTTCAGAGATATGTTTCGGCAAGAGTCTGTTGTAAAGATTTACCCGAATCTTAGAGTTTGTTCGAGATAAGAGTCGTGTCCGGCAAGGACTAGTCATGTATCTCGGGTATAAATATAACCCAATCCCATGTAATTTAAAGAACACACTTCAATAACACCTTCGGCCCATCGCCACCTTTTCTCTATTCTCTTTGTTTCGACGAGTTCTTGCTGTTGGGTTGAGCTGCATCGATTTCGATCTTCAACACGAGGTAAAACTTGTTATGGTGGCTTGTGTTCTCGAGATTAGTGCTTACATCTTTATGACACTCTAATTTTGTTTATGTAAATCGTCGAGTTATCATATATGCCTCATAATCTTTGTTAGTATCGTAATCTAACCCTAAACCGGCCAATATCCATCATTGGAAGATAGCCGATAGAGTTAGATTTTGCTGTTAATTTAGATTATAGGGTATATCCTCCATCTCATAGGGATTTTCATCAACTTGTTTAGATCTTATTTTTATCTTTATGCTTAATGCTGCATCGGTTGAGTTCCATCTATTAAGTAATATCCATAGTTATAATATCTAACTTGTCTCGTGATCATCACTAGAGATAGAATCGGGGTTTTAGCCGATCTTATCTGATTTAGTTATTTAACTTACTATATGCTTCATTGATATGCTAAATTTGCCCTTTACGTTAAGATATCATCATATGAAATATATTAAGCTTGTTATTAATCTATTAAGGCATCTTAATATTTGATTAATCCTTGCTTAGTATATCTAGCTTATATTGATATCTTGATCTAAAGGGCCAGAGGGTGACGACGACGTCCTTCTCGGTCGGCCATGATGCGCAGGCGCGCGGGAAGCCAACGGGCGGCAGCCGCGGTTTGATCGGCGCTATCGGGAAGCGGTGAAGGGAGGAGAGAGAGCGAGCAAGAACGAGAGGAAAGAGAGATGCCTCTCTCTCGAGCACGTGCGGCGCACGCGCAGGAGGGAGCTGGGCCGAGAGGGGAAGATGGGCCAGGGAAGGGAGAATGAGGGAGGTGAAGTAGACTTTTACAAAGAGGACTGATTTGGAGAGAATTTGAATTGGAGTTTGGATTTGGATTTCGAATTTGGTACTTGGACTCAGGAACATAAGGTGGAGTCAAGTAAGGGATTCAAAATGGGAATTGATATTTTTTGGGAAATGGGGACAAGTATTTGGCGAGGATTCAAAGGAAGAGGTTGAATTTTGGAACTCGATTTTGGCTTAGGAATTTTGAGGTGGAGAATTTCGATTTTGACGAGAGGGAACAAGGAGATTGGAACCGAGATCCACGGCACAACTTAGACTCGCACACAAAAAACAGAATTTTCGTGAATAGGATTTTATTTAAATAGTTTTTAACGTCTCGCGAAAAGTGGGGCGTTACACATACTGGCGGTGCGATTTGGGGAGATGCGGGGACGGGAAAGGTGGGAGCGAGTTGAGGCGTTGAATCTAAGTGAGACGATCCTGACCGATCAATGAGATGGGGCTTGGGTATAAACGATTTGACTTGTTGAATTGCAAGACAAAACTCCTGCCTTTATATTGAGTAAAGTGCATTGGTGGTCCTTAAAATTGTAGGGTTGTGTCATATAGGTCATTAAAATCTCAAAATGCATATCCAGTTTCCAGAACTTGTCAAAGTGTATCATCTAGGTCCCAAATCGACACATCCCCTCTAGGATCTATGTGGCGCTGATGTGGCATGCCACATGGACATGACATGTCCTTTTCTTTTTTTCTTCTTTTCTTTTTCTTTTTTGTTTTCTTCTTATTCTTCTTTTTTTTTCTGCTCGGGTCACAAAGAAAGGAGAAGAAAGGGGAAAAAAGAGAAGAAAATAGAAAAAGGAAAAATTTTAAATGTGTCCTATTTGTCAATCAAAATAAATGATGCCATGTCATGTCCGTGTGGCATGCCACATCAATGCCACGTAGGATCCTAAAGGGGTTGTGACGATTTGGAACCTAGATGACACACTACGACAAGTTCTGGGACTTGGATATGCATTTTAGAGTTTAGGGACCTAAATGACACACCCCTACAAATTTAAGGACCGCCCGTACACTTTACTCTTTTATATTAGTATAGATATAGATGGTATTTTAGCAAAGCCAATTTTATACTACAGTAGCAATTTTCTCTCCCTTTCTCCCTGTTCCCTCTTCCCTCCCACGGTCATCGGCTCCGGCACCGCCCTCCCTCCCAAACGTGTTTCACTGTCACCGCTCTTCCTCCGCACACAGCCCCCATCCCCAAACCCTAGCATAGGTAGAGTGAAGCAGCACATGCATCGGGGGCGAGCTGGCTAGGCGGCGAGGAGTAGGAGGTCACGACGGCTAGCATGCTGAGGCATCCGGGGCGGCATCGCTGGAGATGAGGCGGCACACCCTCCAACGATGGCGGCAGAGATCTTATTGCGCAGGCAGAGCCGCGCGAAGATCGACGGGGCATGTGTAGTCTTCGGCGGTGACGGTGCATCACCCTCATCGCCGTCAACGACCCACGCCGCCTCACCCTCATCGCCGTTGATGGCCCGCCGACCCACCTTCCCGACCTCACCATCCCATCTCCATCTTCATCCACCTACAAATCCAGGCTCCCACCACCTCCATCCCGCACCGGCCTCCGTCGCTGACTCCTCAAGATGCTTAAGCACGGTTAGTCCCCTCCTCGCCGTCGCCGGTAATTAGTGTTTCATTGCTCACCACTCACGTGGGTTTTGCTGCGCACAGGGCGGGGCGGTGGGCTGATGGAGGTGATGGGGCTGGTGCTTGGGGAGTTGGTCGACGACTATATTGAGTTGCATGCACCGACCAATTCAACCTAAAAGCTTAGCTGATAAGGAAAAACGGACAATTCACTTTATATTTGAACACCCCCCTCACGCGAGGGCCCTTTAAGCCTCTAACGTGGAATAGGAGTGGGCTACGATTTTTATTTAATTGTGCCAACCAGGATTCGAACTCAAAACCTATACCATATTGAGGGCCTGTTTGGTAGAGCTCCAACTCCTAAATTTAGCTCCAGAAGTTGGGCTTGGAGTGGAGTTGTGAAGCTGTCTAAACCCAGCTCTACCTCTCTAGTTCATTTTGTGAGAGAGCTCCACTCAGTTTCGCTCCTATTTTTGGTGGAGCTGAAACTGTTTGGCTGATCTCCAGCTCCAAGAGAGGTGGAGGTGGAGGTGGAGCTGTGCCAAATAGGCCCTGAGTTGTATGCACCACCAGTTCAACCCAATAGCTTAAGGGTCTGCTTGGCACAGCTCCAGCTCCACGCAGCCAAATAGTTTCAATTCCACCTAAAGGGTGTGTTTGGCAAATGGGATATGGGAGGTGGGATTGGGAAAGAGAAATAAATGAATGCTTAGGATTGAATGAGGTGCGAAGAATGAATAGCTAGGATACAATATTGCCTTATAGAGGGTGGAATATTATTTCTTAATCCCATTTTGACTTTTAGGCTGTTGCAGAACTCTACTCTGTACTCTAGCGCTAAATTCAGAAGTTGGGGCGGTAAGCCTATAGGCCCAATAGTCCGGTACCCTGCGCCGCTCGCGCGGCCCGCCTGAGGACCTGTGGAACCCGAGGCGACACCTCCGCTGCTCCGCCGCCACTCGAGCGGCGGCGATGCCACCCAAACTGCGGAAGAGGTCGACGGGGGCGGCGGCACGATCCCCCGCCACGAATGGAGAAGAAGGCCATACTGGCTCTAAATCATCGGAAACGAGTCCGGCTGCTAGCGGAAGGTGGACACGAGCTCGAGCGAGGGATCTAGGGTTCGATACTACCGACCACCCTAGAGTGTCGGATTCTGCTGGCGGCGGGGGCAGGACTGACCGCAAAGCGCCGGCAGGAGCGGCTCCGAAGAAGAGAAAGGGCGTATCGGCGTCGACGTCGGCAGGTCCGGTTCCGAGGAAGACAACGGCGGCGGGCAGGAAAAGAAGAAACCCGCCTTGTCCCAGCTTACCGCCGGGGCAATGCACCAAACTCGACCAACGAGGTTTAATCCCTCACCTTCTTGCCCAACCTTTCTTTTTCCCTTCTAGTTTTTCATTTAGTGTTCGTACTCCAAAAATGCTGATCCATGCCTACCGGCCTTCCTTCTCTTTACCTCATCGCAAAGATATCCCCACTCTCAGGGATGAGCCTAGGGATCCCCTCACCGCTGATGCCGTGGTCAGTTCGCAAGACAAGGCCATGGTGCTACGCGTGGCTCGCTCCGTTGTCAGTGTTTCATCCATAACGCCTGGTAAAGTCATATTGGTATTGCTATTCATATGATCGATTTCTCCTAGTTGTTGATAAATGAGATTGGATGACTAGCAGATGGGGGATTGATTTTCCAGTGCACTGGCATCGTCTTTGGTTGGGATGGGGCTAACAAGTGCGCCAAGATCCTGACCTCTTCTTCTGTCGTCTGTGACTTCAAGGGTGAATTACATGACCCAACACTCAAGGTACATAATTGCTCCTTGAATTGCGCTCTGTGTATAATCTATGTTATATGTTGCATCTCCTTGTTGTAGTTGATCATGTCTGCAAGTGCTTTAATTATTTGACCTCATGGTTGTTAAGGCGTTGCTTTGGCGCTAGGGCGTGCCGAGGGGTCAAGGCATCCCTGAGCCTTAACGGCTTAGCGCCATAACCCAGATAAAGAGAAAGAGAGGGGTGAAGGTGGCAGCAACTACACCCTTTTCCCTGTTCTCTGATCCATGTCATTGCCATCTTACTCCTCAGCTCTGGTTTCCACTCTCTTCTTCTCTCCCCTGTGCCAGATTCATTTTGACTCTAGGGAGCAGCGCCAGATCTACCCAAGAGGAGTACATACAGATAGATGCACTGCTGGATTCATTCTGAATCTGGGGAGAAAGGAGCACAGATAGAGGAGCAGAGCTAGCATGGGAAGAAGAGTTGGCGCGAGGAAGAAGCGATGTGCAGGCTTGAGGAAGAAGCGACATCGGAGGTGGCGCTGTGACAGGAGAGACGCACCTGGTGTGGGTGTTAGGGTTGTTTCTTTGACCTTTGGCTGGCATGAAGGTTATTGGGCTTTTGTGGGCTGGCCTGGTAAGCTAATTTTTTCTCTCCCTCTTCTAATCGCTGCTAATCACGTATATTATGGCGTCGCCACACCTTAGCACTTTACCGCTATAGCGGTAAGGCATGGGTGGGTCACCTCAGGTCGCCTTACCGCCTTAACACAACCATGTTTGAGCTAACATAGAAATTGCTGCTATCTAACTCCTCTCTGTCTATCATGTCAGTTCCATTGACATCATTGTTAAGTAGGGAAGTAAATTGCTCATTTTAGCCGAACTTGCTGAATTCTAGAAATTGAATATCAATCCCGAGGTATTTTGGTAGAATATTGGACTGTTTGGCAAAATAAATCTGGTTATATTGCCCACTTGGCCACTATGCAATATGCATTCCAAAGGCCTGTTTCCACTTAATGCGAGGCCACACCAGAAATTCTGCCCGTTGCTTTTGATCTACATACCAAATTATGATATATCAAGAACGACATCAAGCAGCAATTGGGGCAACAGGAAATAACCTTGATACAAAAACTAACTCCTTCCACTGACATATCAGTTCTCCAAACTCATCTGCCAACATGTTAATTACTTTTATGCTGCAAATGCACAATGAAGTAAAGCCCTTCATCCTCAGGACTTCTCAAAAGTGAATAATTCACCTAATCATAATTTTAAGCCTTTTCAAAATCAATTACTCAGTTTCAGTTTCTTTCTACGATTTTCATGCGCCTCAGCCATCCCTTTATTTAAATGTAGCACAAGGTGTTCATTGTCCTTATCAAGTTAATGAGCTTTGGTAGCACTTTCAGCTCGCATGTATTAGTATTGTTTCTTGTGAAAGGCAAGTAACTCAACAAGGTGTTTATGTTCTATTGTAAAAGGGTGTCTTGATGGTTATGATACTGATTTTCTTTATGTCTCTTTGTGGTCCCTTTGCAGTTATTTTGTTAATGTCGCGTGTTGTTTGAGTGTTCTTGAAGGCACCCTTTTAGTACCATCTAAACACATATTTTAAGATCTTAGTATGCACTTATTTCTGCCTTTTTCTTTAGAGATGTGCTGCTGTTACAGAATATAGATATTATGTGTTGCATGCCTCTTGCTTGTCATTCTTTACGATATTTATTTTTAAATATCCTTTTCTCATATTTCTATTATCGTTGCCCACCTAGTGTTTCTTGAAGGTACTTATCTATGCTAGTTTTTATGATTTCCTATTCGTCCATTATTTTCTTTTTAATATAAGTTAAGTATAGTTGACCAAATCTCAACTTTTCAGCTATCTGTTCATCTGCCAGATAACACTATCACAGAAGGACGGTTGTTGTCCTTCAATGTTCACTATGATGTTGCTCTTTTAGAGGTCATGGGAGACTTCCAGTTGCAGGTCCCTTCTTTTGGCTCGAGTACAACCTATGGTCAGGACGTATTTGCATTGGCTAGGGATGAAAACATGTGCTTAATGGTTAGGCATGGAAAAATCTCATGGCTGGAATGTCCCATGTTATTGAACAACCACTATATGTTTCTGAGTTGTGATATTCCTGAGGTATTGATGCATTATTATGTTATCATTTTAATGCATTGTTATTTTTCCCATTTAATTTTATGGCATTGTTATTTTCCCATTTAATTTTATGGTATCTCTCTAATGCAGGGTGGTTCAGGAGGGCCAGTGATTGACCATGATGGTAATATCATTGGGATTGTATTTGACAATAACCCGGGTCCGGTAGTAACCTCTATCACTACAATCAGAACTTGCGTTGAGATGTGGCATCAGTTTAGGTTTGTTTTCCTTTTTTTTTTTCTGTTGTCATCTAAATAAAAATTTCATGGGCAGTTATTATTGTTAACAACACATTTTCACCTTTTGCCGCTCTGTCAACATCCCATCAGTTAAGTTGCACTATTTCGAGCACTAGAAAATGTTTGATGATGTTTCTGGTCTCTCTAGTAAAGCTCATCATGGCAATCATTTGAGCGTGATCCTGCTTGCTCATTGGTCATTGCAATGTCTTGCGGGCATGAATTATGAAATACAGGAATGGTTGTGGCAGAGTATGTCTAGCATGGTGGAATGCTCACGGCACAAGAGTGTATCAATTATGTGATTTTGATGTTGTTTGAATGCTAGCAATCTTTGACTGCTAGGAGCATGTCTCTCTTAATTACTTTGTGTTCTAGCCATCATGGGTGATTGATTCATTTTTTAACCTGTTAGTTCATAGTGAATGGTATTATGGATAAAGGGAGGATTGGGTGGTATATATATTTACAAGATGCAACAAATTTGATGGTATGGAGGCAATTACCCCATTCCTACACTGAAAAAAAAAAGAATTGCTGGTAGGAGTATGGAACAGACAAAATACATCCTTATAGCAATGTGTCTTTTAATCCAGGATGGTGTGGTACTGTTTTCTTATGGAGCAGTTGTACATGGATTAGTCAAACAAATATTGTGTAGTTTATCTTCTGGTACTGATGCACTAAATCCAACTCATTTTTAGCCGTGTTGCTCGCCCCATACTTGGCATGCAATTGAAGGCGGTGGAACTACTGGATGTCTCTAAACTGGAGGAACTCTGTCTTGACAACAATATCACCAGCGGTTTCATTGTGAATCTGGTATAACATTATTCTGTCCAGATATTTTTCTCGTAGTATTTGACTCTTTTGGTTTCATAGGTGAAAGTTGATTCTATTGCGGAGAGGCTTGGTATTAGACGAGGGGATGTGATTGTTTTTCAGGATAGTTGTTGTTCTACTTTACCTCAGGTGATAAAAAGTCTAGTCTTTATTGATCAATTTACTACAAATACAGTATTGTTTATATGTAATTATATTTTGTGAACAGTTAGAAGACTACCTTCTTTCTCTTGGCTGGGGATACCTGCAGGGGAAAAGTTTGACAGTAGATCTCAAGGTATGTTAAAAGCTATATGTGCTAAAACAAAAAAATATGTTGTTTGTTTCTGTAATACTAGTAGCATGCCCGTGCTAACGCTACGGTAACCAAGAAGATGCATGTGCACATACGCAAATATGAATTTTAACCATTATGACAAAAGGAGAAAGAAACAAATTGTCTTTATACAAAATCACATCGTGTACCCATCAGCTGTATTTATCTTTCTAAATAACCCAAATAATTGATATTCCACTCACTGAAATTGCAGCATTACAGTAATGAGATGTCAATTTTAACCTAACCTATAGAATTACATAACCCTGCCACTTTACAACACATCGGCAAAAAGGGAAAACATCAATGGCTTGAGACACCATATGATTTCACCTATAGAAGTTCGCATATGGCAATCAAGCATTAGGGGGAACTTGTAAGTACTAAAATTTCCACAACAACCACTTCACTTTCAAATTTTCGTCTGTTCTTGTCAGAAGTTTGTGGGTGTTGTTTTTTCACATTTCTCAGCATGTTTGATCTCAGAAGTTTGGCGCTGCCTGCTCGAATCCTTCTTAGGCTTTTGTACTCGCTGAAACATTTAGCAACTATGATCAGATTTAAATGCCATAAGGAGTAGCAATTTCATCTAAGAAAATATTTTGCACATGAGAAATAAAAAATATAAAAGGATTAGGATGAACACCTGAGCAAGAGCTACAGTTCGATCATGTCGTTCAGCGCGTATCTTGCTCTTCCTCCAACACCATATATTTTCTTCGCTTGAGCATGTCTGTACAAGAAACAAACCAAAATTAAGGCATGTGAGGTCTTTTTCACCAGACAACAACCATCGTTTTTCTTCTGATGCATCCATTTTATGCATCAACAGGGATCTTCTCCCTCAAACATCAAAGGAGGGGAAATTAACTTTCAGCTTCTACTCACCTTTGCTTTAAAATGTACCCTGACCATCTCCTCATTTAAGAATATGATTATAGGACACATATACGGATTTGCACTTCAGCATGTAGTTATTGAAATCAACCTAAAAAAACATCATCCATGTTTGCCGCATCTTTGGTTGAATGAGCTTTACCACTTAGGCTCTCTTAACAGGCAAATTTATCTCATGATCTTCTTCATGTCTTGACTGATGTGCTCATCACTATCTGATTGCAATCATATGATCATATTTTAGAGGCTGATCTTGCTGCAACATTTCAAAAATAATTCATAATACATAATTTCAATATGACACATTCCATAGGATCTTAAGAAATCAACAGCTGAGATTTGGTACTTGGTGCCTTCTCAAGTACTATAAAATTCCTCTTAAAAAAGCTTCAGTATCGTTGGATTTCCTGTAGAGGAAAAATACAGTTAATGAATAGTTCATTGATCATGTAAATTTGAATTATGTTGATATTGAAAGAAAAGGGATGACACAATACATCTCATTCCATACACCCCAAAATCACAGTAGCTAGCCTGGAATCAAACTCGAATAGACAAAATGTAAAACCGTGTCGATTGGTTAATATGATCTTATGGGACCATGAGCATGTTTGCCCAGATTATGGACCAAAGCATCGATTGCCTAAAAAATTTGTATCCTTCATTATTAACTTTTTCTGTCGTTGCATGTGGTTACAGTTAAATCAATAAATAAAGTGTGTATGCCAAAGAGATTTAACAATCCCACCATAATTAATTTCATTTACATGTGCAAACAAACTTGAAGAGAATGAGCTCAAATAAATCTGTTTTTGTTGAATAAAAACTGTTTTAACATTCTAAAACCAGATTATGCAAGTGCTCATATCAATTCATCAATTCAGAAATATGATCCATATAAAAATGATGACTCCTCACTCCTATATTTGTCCTCTGGACATGTATCCAATCTCTTCAACACTCCTAATCTGGTTGTATACAATCTCTTCAACAGTCCTAATCTGGAAGCATCAAGGGAGAAGACGCTACCATCAAACCGAATTAGAGAGAGAGAAGAAAGTGAGCATGAACCATAAACAAGTGTGAATGATTCAAGTAAACAAGATATATTCATCCACCAGATACTTCCATCACATTGCGCATGTGCATATCAAGACCAAGAGGTACCTCATTGCTTGTGGCCTGCTGGTATGGGTGTCTCACCCAGGCCAGTGCGGGCGCGATGGCCGCTGTCGAGGTTGGAAATGGCGTGGGTAGACAGGGGCACAGGGCACGGCGTTGCAAATAGAGGTCAGGGGCGAGACGGCCGAGAAGATGTGGTGCTCCAATCCAATCATTACGCCGGCCACCACGCCGTCATCAACTCCGCTCCGTCGCAGCCCGGCGTGGACGCGCCGCCTCTGCCGAGCCCCTCGGTGAGCACCACCCGGCTTCGTCCACCGTGGTCTCGCCGCGCATGTCGCCTGCTCTTGAGTATGGTCTGTGGCCAGGGGTATGATAGGGTAGAGGCACGTCGGGGATCGGTGGCGGCAAGGAGCAGATCGCATCGACGGGAATCCTGGACGACGACGGATGCGACGACGGCGATGGGGATCGGGTTGAGGGCGAGCCGGCGGCGGGGATCGGTGGCGGCGAGAGGATTGATGCGACGACGGGGATCGGCGGCAGTCGAGGGCGGCAGCGACGACGGCGTGAAAGGGAGCGATTAGGGTTGGGGAGGGGAGGGGCGGCGGCGCGTGAGAGCGTTTGAGACGGAGCGGAGAGGAGCATGCAATCGAGGGATCGATCGATCTGGACCGCGAGGGAGGTGGGAGGTGGGAGGTGGGAGCGATCTGGACCATTGGGATTTCACCGGGATGATCTCGACCGTTGAGTGAGGAATGAAAGAATGAGTGAATGAGTGAATGAGTAAAACCATTTGTTGAACTATAGGGTAGATTGAAACGTAAAAGAAAAAAAGGTTGAACTCCTATTTTGTTTTTTTCTATGCAGGTTGAAGTTCATAATCTTGTTGACTCATTTAGGGAAAACATTACTTTCCCTGTACAATTCTCTGATGCTTCTAAGTGGGTAAGTACTTGAGCTATTGTAGTATAATCCCTTGCCTTGCTATTTTTTATTCCCAATTTTTATCCTCAACCCGTGTGGTTAATTAGTTGCATCATAGGCACACGAAAGTTATGCATGCCTGGTAAGTTTTGTGGTATGGCTTTATATAGTTGTAAACATTATTAGTTTTATTATCAGCAGATGGAGCTAGATCTATAATTCAGAGTATAATAATGTGATATCTAAGCAGATAATCAAACAACCATTTAATTTGTATGCATTTATTTTTGGCATAGCTAGCTGGATGACTCAATCTAAGAACTATTTGATTTGGATATTGCAAGGCATTTACTTATTGGGGATCAAAAAAATATTTTGTGGAACTGACAAATTAATGTTTTGGAATGTAGGTTGATTGAGGGTGACTTAAAAAGGTGCTGCATTGTCACCTAGTAATATGACTGACCATGGAGGATATGTGACATTATCGAAGAATGTGCAATCCTTGTTTAATGAAATGGCAGTCTTCTAAACCTATATGTTGACAAGCTACTAGCAATAGCTCTATATATGACACAAAATTTGACAATTTCACCCGTTCCGAAAACTAATTTCGCAAATGAACCGCGGCCAAAATTTATTTCAAAAATGTCCCTTTTGTTTAGCGCCAAATCATATGGCGTTGAACCTAAACACCTCAGCACCACGTCAACTGGCGCTGATTACAGTGCCACCGTGGATGGGAGGCTGAGTCGGCGTGCCAACGTGCATTCAGCGCCGTGCTATTTGGCGCTGATATGTCTAAGTTCAGTGTCATACGATATGGCGCTGAACAAAAGAGTCATTTTTAAAATAAGTTTTAGCCGCGGTTCATTTGCGAAACTAGTTTTCGGAAAGGGTCAAATTGTCAAATTAAGTGCTATATATGAAGTTAAAACTAAATTCCTAGTTCCTCCCTTTCCTTGTTACCATCATTGCCCAAAGATTAAAAAAAAGGCTAAATGTGACGACATTTTTTCATGACAAGCGGAAGAAATGGGCACGCCTTTTGCATCAATGATTGTGTTCGGAGAGGCATCTTTTTATGGAATGACGTTCATTAGCTCAGGCATGTAGAAGTATGCAGCTGCTGCCTAGTAATTTTGTTAGGGTGTTTGTACTCACACGTCCATTTCAATTTCTACCGTTGACATGTTACATATCTCATTATTAGAAGTACAGTACTTATGTACATTGTACACCGGACTGGAGGTCTTGGATCTCCCACTCTCTCTAGTGTAGCAAGGTATGTACGCATGTGTCCATCAGTCCATGTAGTGTGGGTGGGCTATGTATGTGTCATCAGTATTAAAAACCAGTAACGGCATATATACCAGTCGGGGCTGTTTTAGTCCTAAGGGCTTGTTTGTTTGCTTGAGAATTAATCCCCAAGGGAAACCTATCGGGGGAGTTGAGTGAATCCCTCCCATATCACCAAATCCCTGTGGGGTTTGAATCCCTTGCCTGTTTCTAATCCCTATCTTAGGGCTTGTTCACTTTGATGTCATTTTTAACCATACCAATTTTTAGCAAAGTTGTCAAAAATATATATATATATATATATCAACGTTTAGTTTGTTGTCAAATTTGATCAATACATAAGAAATCCTGCTAAAATTTTAGCAAGATAGTAATATTGCTAAAATTTTTAGCAAGATAGCAATATTGCTAAAATTTTAACATTAATAAAACTTGGTAAGGTTTATTTTGGCTATAATCTGAACAGTCCCTTAAAACCCGGTTTAGCAAGGGAAACAATCCATGATTAGACTTGCTTAGCATCAGAAACTCTATGCTATGGGCCTGGGCCTTAGGCGCCTAGCTATGGATCGCAAGAGCCCAAATGGGGAAATTTAACTATTTGACACTCTTATGACATGGCAATTAATGATTTGCCACACTCTATCAATGACATGTATGCCCTCATGTGTCTATGACATGTGGGCCTAGTGGCAAATCATTAAGCACCATTCGTAAGAGTGGCAAATAGTTAAAAACCCCGCCCAAATGACAACGTTTTCCTACTGGAAAAAGTACACCGAAGGTCCCTCAACTTGTTATCGGGATTAAAAAACGTCCTTAAACCGCAAAACCAGATATACATGGTCCCTTAACTATATAAAACCAGTCACCCGAGGTCCTTCGGCGGTTTTGATTCCGGTTTTGGTCTACGTGGCGGCTGAGTCAGCGTGGGACCCACATGGGCCCCACATGTCAGTATCTCTTTTCCCTCTTCTCACACTCCCCGATCCCCTTTTCTTCTTCATGCGCGCGAGCCCGAGCGTGACAGAGCGAGGTGCGGCGAGGGGCGCGGCCATGGGATGGCAACCGGCAAAGCGACGGCGGAGGGCGGCGGGGTGGAGTAGTCGAGTAAGGAGGCGCCGGAAGGAGGCGATGTGGGCGGGCGGTTGGCATCCGAGGGAAGGAGGCAGCCACGCGGCAGCGCCCGACCTGGTGCGACGATGGCCCGGGCCGAGGCAAGGGCGGTGGTGGCGGGTTCCGTAGGATTCCGGCCAGGTGGAGGTGGAGGCGGCATGGGGAAGGGATGACGCAGGCTGCGAACCGGCGGGAGGCCAACTGCAGGTGGTTGTGCATGCGGCGCTCACGCGGGGCTGGGCTGGCCTCGCGGTCGTGGTTGGCGGCGGGTGAGGTGTTTTCGGCGAGCGGTGCGGAGTCGTCGACGACGACAAGGCCGAGCGGCGTGGAGTCGTCGACGATGACAAGGCTGAGCGGCACGGAGTCGTCGGCCCCGGCTCTCCCCATCCGCAGCCGCGCTCGCACGCCGCCGCCGCCGCTCCGCCACAGCTCTCCCGTCGACGCCGCACAGCTCTCTCCCGCCGACGCCACCTCTCCGCAGCTGTGCTCGCCCACCGCCGCCGCCGCTTCGCCTGCTCTGGCCACCATGGAGTCGTCGGCGCCGGCTCTCCCCATCCGCAGCCACGCTCGCCCACTGTCGCCGCCGCTCCGCCATAGCTCACCCGCAGACGCCGCACCACTCTCGCCCGCGGCGTACATGCTCTTCACCGCGCCCTCTATCTTGGCGCACCCCGTTGTCGGGGACGCAGAGCGCAGCGGGGACGCAGACGGCCGCGAGGACGGCGAAGGGGAAGCAGCAGCAAACCGCGGACGGCGCCTTTCCCCTCATACGCCCTCGCCGCCGGCCTCTCCCGCGCCGTCGCAGCCGGAGGAGCCGCCCCCTACCCACCACCGCCGCCGCCAACACCGACGACAAGGCCCGCGCCCTCCTCCCTCGCGCCCGGAGCCGCAAACGATGACAAGACCGGCACGGAGTCGTCGGCGCCGCCTCTCCCCATCCGCAGCCGCGCTCGCTCGTCGCCGCCGCCGCTCCGCCACCGCTCTCTCCCACCGATGCCGCCCTGCTCTCGCCTGCCGACGCCGCCCAGAGAAGAGTGTGTGTGTGTGTGAGAGAGAGAGAGATAGAGAGGAGAAAGGGAGAGGAACTCTGAGGAAGTGAGAAGGTGATGACGTGGCCAACTGACATGTGGGGCCTACGTGGGTCCCACACTGACTTAGCCGTCACATAGACCAAAACCGTTGTCAAAACCACCGAAGGACCTCGGGTGACCGGTTTTGTATAGTTAAGGGACTCCGTATATCTGGTTTTGCGGTTCGAGGATGTTTTTTATCCCGACGACAAGTTGAGGGACATTGGGTGTACTTTTTCCTTTTCCTACTTGAACCATGTACATTTAGGCCCATTTAGATCAATAAGAGAATATTAGAAATTGATTATACGTCCAGGCTCCAAGCGGCGCCGAAAAATGGAAGCGAAAAAATATAGACTAACGGAAAATAATGCAATGAAATCTGATGCATATCTATAGCTAATCAACTCCGGCAACTTGCACCGATTAGCTGGCATCTTGATCACAATTTACAAACAAGACCGAGCAATAAACAGTCCTTTTTGCCGTCTGTGTCCAAACCATCCTTTTTGCCTGCTAGCTATTTGCACAATGCTGAACTAATAATTGATTAATTAACTAAGAACTAAATTACAAAACGATGCAAGTGTTTAAGCTATAGCACTAATGCCACCATGAGCTTCAGTCGCCCAGCTACAGTGTTCCCCATCTCTGAAAACAAAATGGAACAGCATTTGGATCAATTCCATAAAGAATCATGATACTCTGTAAATGCATTAAAAAAAACCCTCTGTGGTGCTGATTAGAAACATGACCTGCTTACAGTGACATAATGCTCAAATCTAAAGTTGTGAAAATAAAACTTGTGATAGAACTAACCATCGTAAATACTGTTATGAAACTTCCATTTTTCTGCACAATATCTCAAAACAAAACAAGAACATCAAGTTAAAATCCGTACATATTACCAGACTTAAACAGGAACTTAGATCAGGCACGCTTGGATTTCTTGTGAACAAAACTGCAGTCACACTTGGATCAATGCAATAAAAGGGAAGAAGCAAATTTGGTCGTTTGACCGGACTTCAGCATGCAAATATCCCCTGTATGAGCCAAGAAACAAATCTTCCCCAGTTTCATTGTTTTAGCGAGGAACATCTTAAAATCTCCAAAAACACCAACCAATTTGACACCTATCCGGACACTGCTACCAATACTTGGACTCAAACACAATACTACAGCTATCACAGTATACACAGCAGATACCAAAGGCACTAACACAAACCTCTTTTATCCATGGAGGAGAAGAACCTACGAGCACCAAAAGTATACGAGCGGCTGAATAACTCTACGCGCACGAATCTTTACGAGAAGAACACACGGGATCGATCGAGCAGAGCACCCATCCCCACCCAACCAAGAACTCACCAGATCAAGCAGGATACGAGGAGGACGACGAATCGCCGGTACGGAGCTGAGCGCTCACACACCTGCCCGGGCCCAGCCGAAGGAAGGAAGGGGAGGAGGGAAGCGCGGAGACCGCGACGTGCTGTGCTCACGAGAGAGAAAGCCGCACGGCGAGAAGAGAGATGGCGGCGACGATGGGAAAAGGAGAAGAGAAGAAAACCCTAACCTTAGCTTTGGAAGAGAAGGTGGCGGCCGGAGGGGAGAGAGCCGTGCCATCGCCGTCGCCTCTGGGTCGCGCCGCGCGCCGCCTCCGCCGTCACGTCATTGCGCCGCCGCCTCCTCTCGAGAGAGGAGTTGATTTATTCCCGGACCTAGAGAAGAGGGAAACACCGTGGTGGGCCAGGCTAAAATCCACGTTAGGGCTTAACCGAACGCACAATTTCGCATGGGCCGGGATTTCTTTCTCGCCGGGGTGATCCATGGGGATTGGGCCCCGATCCTGGCCGTTCCCGGCCCAACCGAACAAACCCTAAAGAAGATTGCTGGGAAGCTAGGGATGCTGCAGCATAATGCTCAAACCCCAGCAAAGCACTTGTTATTCCACGAAGATGAGAGAGGGCGACTCCAAAGGCGACTCTGAGGGCGACTCCTCTAGCGACCCAAATGCAGCGGAGCGCTGCCTTGTTGCCACCGGAGATTCGGGGATCCTCCCCACTCCACCGGCTTCAGCTCGCCTCCGCCCCCTCCCGCGAGGTCGGTCTCCCTCCTCTGCTCCTCCTTCCTTTAAGCCCGGTGTCGCTTTCTCCACCTTTGTTCTGGAAAAGTTCCATTCGTCTGTCTGCCTCTCCGGTCTTCTTCGCCACCTCCGACCAGATCATGCCACACCCCTTTGGATTGCTACTTCCCCCAGTATGCCACATCTAAATATCTTCTCCATAAAAAATCTCCTGAACTTCTGGTTCTCCTCTTACTCGCAAAGTTTCTGTTCGTCACAACGGTTACTAGCGCCAATGTTGCTAATGTGATGATCATGACTGGTACTTCGGCTCTGAATCAAAAAGGGATTACGCTTCATTCTTCGCTTCAGGCTGCTTCCCAGGCTGTGAAATCAAAATTCCTGGCTACGATGGATGAACTAGTTTCTTCGCACAAACTTCCCGCTCCGGTCAAGGATTTTCAAATTGTCAAGACGAACAGTGCCTGTGACTTAATGCTGGAACCGAGCCCCTTACTCTCTCTCACTAATGTCGCCCAGCCACCCAAGCCTTTACTTTTTTTTTTTTTTGAGAACTCAATGTTTGATGGCATTTTTGCAGCGGCTAGAACGATGAACCTGATAGTTCATGTGTGCATGCGCCATGCAAATATAGAAATACGCACTGTGCCCAATCTATACTTGTCAATTAGTGTATATATGCGTGTGTATACTGAATCAAGAGCGAGCTATGTCAGTCGGCCGGTGAAGCAACTACGTACATCCATGCATGCATGCATGCATGCATGCATGGCAGTATACAAATATATGGTGTTTGATTAAGGGTGAGGTGATTAATGGGCTTAATTAAGAAATTTAATGCGCCTGCCCCTGGGCTTAGCCCATATCAGTGAATGACACAATCGCGGCGTATTATACATATCCACAGTTTTGATTTATCGGCTAGATGAGTTTACTTATCGATCAAATTAGAGAGATAAGCTGGGGTTTCAATTTATCTGAACAACTTCTGCTCACGCGTGCGGAAGAGATAAAACCAGATGAATTAAGAGATAACCAATAAACCAATTAATTTTATCTCTATAACAAACTTGGTCGAGTTAGTTACTTCGCGCGAGCGCTGGCGAGGCGCTTATCACCGGACTGTGGCCCAGCAGCAGAGAAACAAAACGAATTACAAATCAGATATTTGACGCCAGGAGAAGCTAAGAGATAAAATCAAAGAAGGATATGAACAAATAACAAACTGATCGATCAAGCCTTATCTGCAACGAACTTGACGCGGAGGAAACGGCGCGCGGACGTGGCGCGCCGAGCACCGACCTCAGGCCCCTATATAAGGCGTCGACCCCTCGGCAGCCAGGGGGCATTCACGAACTCATCCACACAATCATCCACCAACGCATCCAGTATCCACAAGCCATCTATCATCAACGCATCGGCCCATCGATCAACACACAACGCAACCATCCATCCTCGACGCAGCCATCCCTCGTCATTAACACATCCATCATCCAGCACCGAAGCGACAGCACACGCGCGGCCGGAGCACACCGGCGGTGGCGAGCAGCTTCGGACGAACCGGCGTCCGGCAGGGGAGCACGAGGAGGGAGATGGAATCGATGGTCTTCCAAGGTAAAATTAATTAAGATCAGTTTCTTTCTTATTTCATATGCAGCACGTACATACGCATGCATGGAGAGGCATCAACTAGAGTATGGAGGAGTACACTCGTGCGGCTGCGTCGGCGTGCGCTGGTGTTATGGCGCCGGAAGACGGCAGCGGCTATCAATCTGCGTCAACAAATATCGCCCGGTTACAGATTAGGGGCCTGTTTGGTTGCTACCCTGAGGAAAACTTGTCTGGCCTGAGACAAGCCTGAGTTATTTTACCCTTTGTTTGGTTGCCACCCTCAGCCCCTTTTCCACTCGCCTGGCCTGATGAAACCTGGCATGTCATTAGCCTGAGTCAGGCGACCAATTTTGGTCGCCTGAGCTCGAGGCGTAGCATCGCTCGAGGATTACCAGCCTAATCTCTTGCGAAGTCCCATGCTCAGCTAGCGCTGCACGAAGCCAAAGCCCAAAGCCACCGCCATCGGTATCGTTGCCATCGGCCGCCGTCGTGGGAAGCCCCTCTCCTGGCCACCGTCGCGCGAAGCCCCCGCCGTCGGCCGCCGTCGCGAGAAGCTCCTGTCGCTGCCGGCCGCAGTCGCGCGAAGCCCCCGCCGTCGGCCGCCGTCGCGGGAAGCCCCTGTCGCCGGCCGCCGTCGCGCGAAGCCCCTGCCACCGGCCGCCGTCGCGCGAAGCCCCCGCCTCTGGCCGTCGCCCGTCGTACGGAGCCATCGCCAGGTCCAACGGAAGCTGCCGATTCGCTAGGTTCGTTCAGTTTTTGCTGTGGTTTGCGGTATAGTGCGATCTCTCACCTTCTCGCATGAAGCAGCCCCTGTCATCTATCTAGCTGGATCTACCGTCTTACCAAGCTGGCTGCCTCCATTTGTTTCGTTAATTGATTTGATTTGCATGCGGCTGGGAATTGAAAGTTTAATTTGCCGGTTATTGGATTTGGGGATCTCTTTCTTAGCATCCTATTTCTTTTTCACTTCTTTGTGTGCGTGCTATTAATTTCTCAGAGCTAAGATGCGCATAGAGTTTGGTCGATTTTTTGTTTCTTCCCATGAACACATAATTAACATAAATAATCTAAGCCCAATCACTTTTTCTTTCTCTCAGGCAAGTGTGCCAAACCAAACAAGCAAAATCTCAGGTTGCCTGACCAGGCAAAGCACATGCACTTCTCCGATGTTTCTCAGGCACCTAAATTTCTCAGGCACAGCTCCCAGGGCACCAACCAAACAGGCCCTAGATCGGTGACCGGCGGCCGGCGGCATCCGTGCAGGCGACGGCGGCTATGGACGACCGGCAGCCGGCGGCACTTCGTGTGGGTGACGACGGCTTTCGATCTACGTCAACAAATATCGGCGACCGGCGGCCGGCGGTCTCCCATCGCATGATCGGATCGGCGATTGGCGACTGGCGCGTGGCGGCAGCACCCGAAGGACGACAGGACGACCGTCGGCCTCACATACACACACGTCGCACGGCGGCGTGGCGGCAGCGACGGGGAGATAGCAAGTTAGCAAATGCAAGCATGCTAATTAAGCTAATTATGGTGGCAACATGGCCGACCAATCAGAAGACGACACATCATCAAAATGCTATAGTACCATGCAACAAGTCCTGTTCATTCTTGTCCTTCTCAACGGGGTGTTAGCTGTGATTAAATCCAGCTATTATATGCGCTGATCATCTCCAACAGTTCCTGATTCTCCTCTAATCTAATCTCGACGCAACTGCTGTGACGTCAAGTCGTTCGAGCTACGCAACTCCATGCATGTCTTCACCAACAATCTACATCGACACGTTGTTCAAGACCGACGAGGCTAGACGACGGAGGGTGGGCGAAGCTGATGCGAAGGCCACGCTACCAACACCGGCGCACGGACCGACGAGGCCGTGGATCGCTGCCGGAGCTCACGTCTACACATCTACATCATCATCACAACCATGCATGGAGAACGCGAAGCGAAGACGACGAGACGACCACAAGCAGCTTAATTGGAGGTTCTCTTGCATGCCTAAACTTGCGGAGGTAATTAACTGGGAGCTTCTCGAGGCCTCAGGAACCAGGAGACCACATCGCACAAGTCAGATCTGTCCAATGACAGATTATGGAGCGCGCATACATATATATTGCATTGGGAATTTGTATTTATGATCTTTTAAGATTAATAAAGAGCATGTTCCCTATGTTTTGTTTACATTGTGTATTTAGGTACACTAGCACGCCCACATATATATGTATCTCTAAACAAACGAGATCTTAGACGTTATTTTCCACCCTAGACACTCAAGCCTTTACTCAACCCCGCGCCACCAGCTACCACCCCTCCCCGCTCTTACCGTGAGGTTTTACTCACCCCACCCACCAACCGGCGCACGGGCTACCGCTAGTCCTCCTGTCGATCCTCAGCCGCAACTACGCCATCCCCCCCCCGGAACGTTCCAAAGCCGCTAGGTCCGCAAAGCTCCACCTCGTGCGCAAAAAACTGTCATTCCTAAAGCCCCCTTCCTCGCCTCAACACTCAAGATGGAGGGTGCTGGCTCTCAGATTGGCCCTGCTGTTCTGCCCCTAGCGAGCTCGGAGGCCCCCCTGCTGCCACTGCTGAGGTAGCTGACTTCTGGGACACCGAGGTATCTTTCAACTTGGAGCAACTGTTCAGTCCCCCCATGCCGCACCCATGTCTGGCTGTTCTAGTGGCTCACCGCACCGCAGCACTGCCGGTCAGAATCTCAGATTTGGAAGAGGTTAAGGACATCTTTGTCTATGAAGATAGTACCACTGCTTGCCCTGCTCGCTTCCCTGTTTTGTCCTTCAACACTAGGTCCCCCCCCCTCCGCCTGCATCTGCTGGGCTACCTCGTGTGAATGCTCTGTCTGGGGCGGGGACCTACCGACCAGCTGGAACTCCTAGCAGTTCCTCCTCGGTGGATGTGGAATCGGATGAGATTTTCTCTGTGGCAAGCATCCCGGTTGGACAGCTCACCCCAGCTTTTGCTGAACTGCTCTGCATGTACCCCCTCCACTATGATGTGTTTGCTCCTTTTGCGGATATGAGAATCACTGCTCACTATGCCACAGCTTTCATGTTCCCTGCTGCCTCTGAGCCTTCACGTGTGACATGGGACGCCATGAGAGAGTATCTCCCCAACATTCATTTCTCTTTGAACCCCGCGGGGCGCGGTGCAATGTTCCTCAGGTTCAGTACCCTAGAAGACAGGGATGCAGCTGTCGACTTCCCAGGCGCGTTTCCGTCAGAAGACAATCGAATCCGGTGGTCATATTCTAGTATTGGAGAAACCAGAAGACAACGAGACGTGTTTCCGTCAGCCACTGGACAAACTGACCGAGCTTGAGGTCACTGATGTTGGATTGCTTAGGATCGGTTTGGCACAAAGTGGAACTACAAATTGAAATAGGTTTGGATCATACCTTGATCTTCAGGGGTTCCCATTTCTAGGCCTTTGTTCTTCTTTCTTCACTTCTCGATTGGAAGCAGAGAGAGATGTGTTTCGGTTCTTCCCTGTGTTCTCAGTGGGTTTTGCTTGATCGGGTAGCGAGAGAAATCTCTTAGGGTTTAACACTTAGGTATTGATTTCTATTTATAGACACTGCACACAGGGGGAACCGACACTGGAAGAGGCGGTAAATCCCCCGATCAGGGATATTCTTGAAAGGTTGATCACTGTAGTGACCGCCCTAAAATTCTCTTTTGCCGACTATGGTTTAGCCGCAAGATCACATTTGTGTTCACACTAACATTCTCCCCCTTGATTGTGAGGCTAAACTTATAAGTCCATCTCTCAACATAATAGCATACCAAGACAAAAGATTACAGTGATCAATATAAAGTACCACAAAATCCAGTGACTATAGTACACCATTATATTTTAAAATGAACTTTAATCTTACGAGCTCTTTGAACTTATTACATCAGGCTTATACAAACTTATGGACTCACTTTTCAACAAAACAGTACATCAAGACACTAGATTACAATAGTCAATTAAGCACCACTGAACCAAGTGACTATGGTTCCTATTTAATTTCAAAATGAGTCCGCCTTAGTTTTATGGGGAGTCAGTGCCATATAGGTTCCTATTTTTCCAGGATCAAAGGCTTTTCTACCAAACCCATGCTGGCAACATGTTCTTTAAATACAACGGGTGGTAGGCCTTTTGTAAGTGGATCCGCTAACATCAACTTAGTGTTCATATACTCAACGCTTATTGTCTGATCCTGGATCATTTCTTTCACGACATGGTACTTGATATCAATGTACTTGGCAGAAGCACTTATTTGTTGCTACTCGCATAGTATACTGCTGGTTTGTTATCACAGTATAATTTGAGTGGTTTTGATATACTGTCGACCACTCTCAATCCCAGGATAAAGTTCTTCAGCCATATTGCCTGTCTAGTAGCTTCATAACATGCCACATACTCAGCCTGCATTGTCGACGATGCAGTAACTCTTTGTTTGGAGCTTTTCCACGATATAGCTCCCCCTGCAAGGGTGAAAATATAACCTGACGTGGATTTCTTATCATCAACACACCCTGCAAGATCAGAGTCCAAATAACCGACAACTTCAAGGTTTTCAGACTTTCTATATGTGAGCATGAGGTCTTTAGTGCCTTGTAGATAACACAAGGTCTTCTTAGCTAATTTCCAGTGTTCTAGACCTGGATTAGATTGATATCTGCCAAGCATCTCGGTAACAAATGCTAAATCAGGGCGAGTGCACACTTGTGCATACATTATGCTTCCGACAGCTGAAGCATATGGTATTGATTTCATCTGCGCAGCTTCATACTCATTCTTAGGACATTGGAATTTTCCATACTTATCACCCTTCATTATAGGAGCAGGCGAGGCTAAACAATTATGCATATTATACTTTTTCAGTACCTTTTCTATATATGCTTTCTAGGATAGCCCCAAAACACCATTCGATCTGTCTCGGTAAATCTCTATACCCAACACATAAGTGGCTTCACCGAGATCTTTCATTTCAAACTTAGAGACCAGGAATTTCTTTGTTTCCAGTAGCATATTTTTGTCATTACTGGCTAAGAGTATGTCATCGACATATAATATTAGGAAGATAAACTTACTCTCCTTAAACTTAGCGTATATACAGTCATCCTTTTTATTCTCCTTAAAACCAAATTGTCTTATGATATGGTCAAACTTTAGATACCACTGCCTTGATTCTTGCTTTAGTCCATAAATCGATTTCTTTAGATGACATCCCATATGTTCTTTTTCTTTCATAACAAAACCTTCTGGTTGTGCCATGTATACATCTTTATACAAATCACCGTTCAGGAATGCCGTCTTAACATCCATTTGGTGCAATTCTGTCATGCCCAGAAATTTAACCCTAAATTTTCAGACTATTTTGTGTATTAAATCCCTGTACAGGACCAGCCAGGGTACACAAAACGACAAGTAATATACAGTTCCAAACGTAAATAAAGCGTAAAATACTTACAGAAGGGGCACTTAGTCCTCACACCGAAACGGAAGCAGCAGCAGCGGAAAAAGGCGATCCTAGCGGGGCTTCAGCTCCACTCCACAGGCAAAACTCAACTGGGGTCTGAGCCTTGGTCTTCTAACTTCGTCTTCAGCTCAGAAGCACTACACTTCTGAAAATGGGGAATAATAGCAAGGCTGAGTACAACCACCGTACTCAGCAAGCCACACCAATGATGCAGACGTGCAAGGGGATACAAGGATGGTTTGTGGCTATTTGCATAAAAGCGGTTGTAAAGCATTTTATTAAGCAAAACAGTAAAACAGTTGAGTAATTAAAGTAACCTTAAATCTCCACTGATCAACGCTACACCACGTTGAACAGGCCCAACCAACCCACCTGAACTACAGTGCATTAGGTCGATTTATTAAGTGTGAGACTAATCACGGTGAATCTGGTCGACCGCCCATAACCGCGGGCACGGCTATTCGAATAGTTTTACTCTGATCAGAGGTGTACAACTGTACCCACAAGACACAGCCCCACGACACGTTTCCGTGCGCCGACATGCCACCACGACATACCGGAAAGAGGCCGTGACAGGACCCTTCGCATAACCCCCTCTAACCGATCGCACCACACCTTAGGGTTCGCCCCCGTCCCCAGCAGGCAACGGGCAGCCCCCCTTTCGTGCCGCGGTGAATCCGGAAGCCGATCAACCGGACACCCCGGCCGACCCAACTCCATCACGCCCACCCTCGCCTGGGTACATCGGCTAGAGAAAAGCTACACTACAAGCCCAGCCGTTGCCCACGCTGGCTTGTGGTAAGTACGATAAGTTCTTCCAGGGCATCCCGCGAACCGGTCCTTAATTGCCATGGGTGCGACTAGCAAAACCATGCACCCACAGCCCACCATGTAGTCGCATTTTAGTTGGATAATTACGACCATGAAGCATGGCCAGGTGTCTCGAGCACGCAGCTCATTCTGATACTAAAAAGGTCTAATATTGTAATTATCCCATCAACTGAGCTAGTGTTATTTAAGCAGGGCTAAGCATATAGTTCTAGCTAGGTCACATAAGTAACATGAGCTAGTTTATTTATTACCCAAGGTTGACAAAGGACAGATATCAAGTAAACATGGCACAAGCGAGCAGATAGGTAAACCCTATTCCCATGTAATTAGCAAGACATGCAATTTTATTTGCAAATGATAAAACATTTGTAAAATTAGGATCAAAATGCTCAAGGGGAATGTGTGACTTGCCTTGCTTCTTCACTTGGATCTTCTGAACTCTTATCCTTGTGAACGCGATCTTCCGAAACAACGGGAACTACACGCTGGCACGCAAAACGAGGAAAAACTCTAATAAACACCAAGAAAACAGTACATCAAAAGTAACAAACATGAAGAGCTCAATTTTAGATGAATTTTGCAAGTTGAATGGCTCAATCCGGAGTTCGAATGAATTAGATATGAATTTTAGAAGTTTCGAGCCATTTAAATGAATTTCTACAATTAAACTCGATTTATTGCGCAATTATTAATTAATTTCTCAAAGGAAATAGGGACTGCTGACGTCGGCAAGGGGTGAGGCACAGACCGCGTCCACAAAGGGGTGGGCCCCACACGTCAGCAGCAAAGCCCACCGTGGACCGAGTCCACGGCGTCAGCCGGCCACACGGTTGCGCACCCGACAGCCCGGATCGGCCGGGACCGA